CAAGGGGCCAAGAAGGGCCCGAGGGCGCACATGAGGGTCTCGAGTGGATGAAGCGCGAGCGGTCTCGTGTTGGTCCCGAGCCCAGCCCAAATTCCATTCAATCCCGGCGCGCGCCTGGCGCGCGCCGGTTGGTCCAATAATGGTCGGAAAATGGTTCGCAGAGCGCATCCCAAACTGGGTAGACATTCTCCCATGTTGGAAGAATGCCGCAGACAAGCCGGACAAGTTGATAGAAGAGGCCCCGCAGGCGAACTCAGGCCAGGCGACAGTCACTGTACAGAAAACAATGAGGGGCTGTGCAACGCTAGACACTTTTACAACTCGCCGGCGAAGTTGGACCGAGGAGGCGTTCCATAAGGCCCTCCGGGTCGACCTTGGAGGCTGAGATGGAGCACAAGAGGCGCGTTGGGAACGATGTGGGAAACAGTGTCGTCGCGGACCCCATGTTGGAACCGCCTTATGCTCTAAAAGCGGTCTGGAGTACAGCTGGGCGGCGGAATTGTGGAGTCTCTTGGGAGGGACACGGGAGGCAACGTCTTGAAAGGGGCTTTCAAAAGTTCAGCACGCACGCACGCACACACGCACACACACACGCACGCACGCACGCACGCACGCACGCACACACACACACACACACACACACACACACACACACACACGCACACACACACACACCCCTGAGCTCGGTGGACGGACAGGTTCAAACTGCTTGCGCCTTTCCGCCGACCTCCCGCGGGATCTTGCAGTGATGTTTTTTTTGGCATGGTTTTGCCAGTCGGGGGGCTTGAAGGGAGTTTTCAGGACCGCTGTGGAGCTCACGATGTGCTAATTGAAACCATCGTTGAGGCCATCGTAGGCGCCCATGCCGGATCGCGTGGGCAAGTCTTCTGGCCCTCTCAGGGTCGTGCTCGGGCCCCCTTGGGGCGTTATTCGGCTCTCTTGGTACGCCCACGGGGACACCCGTGCGTCCATTGGAGGGTCTTGAGACCGTTCTGGGGGGTCTTCGAGCCGTATCTGGCTGTCTTGACGGGACCGTCTTGGGGGGGGCCCTGTGCCGTCTTGGAACTCTCGGAGGCCAGTTGGAAGCCTCTGGGGCGACCTCGGGGCAAGATTGGAGCCATCTTGGCCCAGTCGCGCATCTCCCACGCCTTCTCACCCCCTGCCAGGCGGGGGAATCGGCGGACTCGACGTGCAGCCTGAACCCCGTCGAGGACGAGGCAGTCGTGGCGTGTGCGCTGAGGGACGGCACGGCTCGAGTGGTGCCCCTGCCAGAGGGGGTGAAATGCGCCAGCGGTCTGAAGGAGTGGATGGTGCCCGATCCCGGGTTCACGGCGGAGCGCCCGGCTCTCTACCGCGCGTTCGAGGAGGCCTCCGAGGCCTACGACGGCAAGGCGCGCTGCCCCATCTTCCGCTCCATGTTCCCGCCCCTCGACGCCGGGGTCGCCGAGCAGCTGGCCCTCTGCGGCCGCATCCTGCCGATCCACGGCGGAGGCGGCGGCTTCTTCGTCGCCGTCCTCGAGCGGGTCGGCGGGGCCGCCGCCGACGCGGATGCGGCCGCAGGGCAGGCCCCGAGTGGCGCTGGCCCGCCGCGGGGCGCGCCCGAGGAGGGCGAGCCGACGCAGGGCGAGCCCACGGAGGGCGCCCCCGAGGAGGACGTGTCCGAAGAGGACGCGCCCGAGGAGGGCGAGGCAGAGCAGGGCGCGGCCCCCGCAAGGGGCGAGCGAGAGGAGAACGCGCCGGAGTGGGGCGCGTGCGAGGAGGGCGAGTCGGAGGGTGGCTCGCGCGAGCAGGGCGCGGCGGAGCAGGGCGGGCCGAGGGGCGGCGAGGCCCAGGGGCGCGAGCCCGGCTGCGGCGGAGCGCAGCCGGCGGCAGCGGGCGCCCCCGCGGAGGCGGGTGGCGTCAGAGAGGCGGCCCCCGAGCGGCGGCCACTGTTGAAGCCAGCGCCGGTGGAGGCCCTCGAGGTCCTGGAGAGCGAGTTCGGGCTCTGCGAGGGCGCGGCGCCAGGAGGACCGGGTGCGCCGCCCTACAGCCGGGGGAGCCTCTTCGTGCGGGGTGACAGCCTGGTGCTGGCCTCTCCGTCCATGGCCAGGGTGTGGAGCACGGCCAAGGGCCTGAACGTCCTCGAGGCTGGCCACTACCTCGTCCGCGGCGTGCGCTCGCACCCGCGGGGGCCGCTGGAGAGCTGGCGCATCTACCCCGAGGCCGTCGGCATCCTGGGCTGCTGGGCGACGCGCCGCGCCGTGCTGGTGGCGGACGCCGCGCTGCTGGGCCGCCTGGCCGGCCCCACGGGCCTGGCCGCGGGGGCGGTGCCGTGCTCGCAGCTGGCTGCCGCTGGCGAGCCCGGCCGCGAGGGGCGCGGCGCGCCATGCCCGCCAGGACCGCTGATCCTGTCCGTGGCGCCCCCGCAGGCCGCGGGCGGGGAGCTGGGCGCGGGCCCCGTGGGGCGCGTGCTGGGCGAGGTGGACGGCGAGGGGCTCGTGCGGCTGCCCGAGGAGAGCCTGCTGCCGGCCCGCTGCTGGGCGGAGCTGCTGGCCGGCTCCGCCGGCTCCGCGTGGCGGAGATGCCTCAGCCTCGCGTGAGCCCAGAGATGCCCTCTCCCCGGGCCTCATCTCAGCCACGCGCAGAGCCCAGACCCCCCTCGGGCAATGAAAAAATCATGACGGGAGGTGTTTCCCCACTTTCGGCCTCGAGGAGGCCCTTACCGGCCCTCGGGGCCGTCAGAAAACGACTCGGGACAAGAAACCGGCCGGCCCGGGTCGAGATCACTCAGGGTCGACGTAATGAACAAATCATGACGTCGGGGGTCTTGGAGGGGGGTGGGGGGAGGGGGGAGGGCTTCTTGGAAACACCCCTGCTTCTTAGAAGGCGCGGGCCTTACGTATGTAGATGCAAGGCCGGCGCCTTCCAAGAAGCAGCCTCCTCCTGAGAAGCCCCTCCCCCCTCCACCCCCTTGTGCGCGCCGCCAATCATCATGCCTGTCTGACTGTCTTCTCCTCGCTACTCCTCCTCCCTATTGGCTCCTCCCTCCTTCTGGGCACAGAGCAAGGAGCCACAACCACAACTGAAGGGGGACTTTTCTGAAGGGCCCTTCGGGGGAGAACCCACCGATCTTGACATGAGCACGTCGTTTTTGTGGTTGTGGTCGATTTGGCCGTCTGGGGCGCCCATATCGACCACATCCTGGACGAAGCTGGTTTCGGCTTTTCCACGCTTCTCAGCATGCCCAGGACATCCCTCAGAGAGTGTGTCCTCGAGGGGTCGTGGTCGCTTGCTGCCCCCGCACTCCTGCCGTCTTCCCAGCTCCTCCCCCCTCTCTCACCACCACCTTCCCCTCCCGCGAAGGCCCAGGGCGGCATGGTGTCGGGGAGCTGGGGGGCTCGTGGGGGGGGGCCCTGCCCCTGCCAAGATCTCTCCGAGCCGCCGCGCCAGGAGCTGCTGGCCTGGTCGAGGCCGGTCTCCCCTCGCCGGCCCGAGCACCGGGGGAGCGCGCCTCTGCGCGGAAGACGTGGAGGAGGCCACGGCCGGGTGCGGCAGCGGCTCCGGCTCGGAGTCGGAGCAGAGCCAGTCATTCACCACCCACCAAACCACCCCAACCCAACCCGAAGGCTCAGATTTACCCTCGATTTCTAGTGGGGGGGGGTCCAGGAACATCGAAAAAACACATATGGAACCCATACCCCCCCCAACCCGAAATTCGGGTCTTCGGGTTGGGTTGGGGTGGTCTGGTAGGTAGTCAGTCATGCCCGAGTCTGGCCTCAGGCCGCTGTCCTTCCTCTGCGTACTCCCGCTTGCGTCGTCTGGCCTCCCTCCTCGTCTTGCTGCCCGGCGCGATGGGCGGCCCACGGGCAGCCTGCGGGTCGCGTGCGCCGCGGTGGGGCCACCAGCATCCGCAGCCTGGCACCTCGCGGCAAGCGTCCTGCGGGTCGGCACCAGTGTTCAGCCACGCGCAGAGGGGGGGGGAGGGGGGAGGGCTTCTTGGAAGCACCCCTGCTTCTTAGAAGGCGCGGGCCTTACGTCTCTGTAGATGCAAGGCCGGCGCCTTCCAAGCAGCAGCCTCCTCCCAAGAAGCCCCTCCCCCTCCCTCCAGCCCCTTCTGCGCGCCGCTTAAAAGGCCGTGGCGGCCGCGGCAGCCTGTCGCGGGCCCCGAGGCTCTCGGCACGTCCGCTCGCCGCTGCTCCTCTGCGGCGGTGCCGCCGCACCGCGGCGCGCTCCGGCCGCGGGCTCTCCCCGCGGCGCGCCGGGCGCTGCGGCCCCCCCTCGCCGGCGCGGCACGCCGCCCGATCGGGCCGCGCCGCGCGCGCTCGAGGGCGCGGGCGGCAGCGGCGGCGCGTCTCGGGCGGCCCCGCCGTGGCGCCTCTGAGAAGCAGGGCGTTTGTGGGCGCTCGGCCAGGGCATGCCGCAGGGCGCGTGGTGGCCTGCGCTATAGTCAGGCGATCGCAGACAGGGATCCAGGGGGCGTGGATTAGCGATGGGCCCCGTTTCTACATGGGGAGCCGCGGACTTCCGCCGCCGAGCGAGGCGGCACCGGCCGCATTGTGGGGAGGGCACCTCCCCCGATCCATGGATTTGGCGACCGCGCGTCAAATCCATGGATCGCTAATCCATGTTTGCGCGCCCCCGAGCCAGGGGCCTGGCAGGGCAGCGCCTGCACGATGAGCCTCGGCAGCGCTCTCACCACACGCCCCGCGGTGGTCGATCATGCTCGTGTCGTCCCCGCGCGGCGGCCGCGCGTCAGGCGCCGCGCCGAAGGGTGAAGTTCTCTACGGTACATAGATTCGTGTCGTCCCGACGCTGCAGCGGCCCGCCGCGGGCATTCAAGGTTGAACGCCGCAAGTGGCCCAGAATCGGCCACAATGGAACGATCTGGCGATCGACAAGCCGCCGATCTGTCAAGGTTGAACGATCCACGCGGCGTCAGAAACCAACGCCGAGGTCGTCACGACACGCGCCTGCCGTACGGCTCGGGACGCTGATGTTTGCAGACTTGAACGTGGTCAGCGTGTTGGGATCCTGTCCTACCCTTGGGGCCCCGTCCTTCAGGGCCCCTTTTCCATTTTTGAACCGCAGACAGTGGCGAGGGCGGCAAGAGGCCCCGCACCCCCTGGGACGCATGCTGAGCCAATCGCACCCCGACACCACCCTCGCACGCAGCGAGCATCCCGCAGCCTGGCGGTGAGCCTCTCCTGCGGTCAGCCCGACGGCGTGCTGGGAGGGGCCCCCCTGTCTCAGCTGCCGCCGTCGACCGAAGAGCTGCTTCCGCCGAGTTGGAGCGCGGTCCCGGCAGCAGTCCGCTGGCCGCCCGGCAGGCGCAGGTGGGCCCCCAGCGCAGGTAACTCGGGCACCTGGCGGGCTGCGAGCTCCCTCTGGACCGCATGGGTCCCGCGCGGGGGCCGCACCAGCGAGGCCCGTGGGCTCCTGCCAGCGCTTCCAGGGTGCGAGCCTCCAGGCCGGCCCTCGCTGCAGGGTCAAGGGCCGTCGATGTGTGGAAGAGGCGAGCCAGGCTTCGGGGCCCCTCTGCCGTGGTCCGCGCAAGAGCTGCTCCAGGGCCCCTCGATCGAAGCCAGCTGGGGGCAGGGGGTCCCCTTGGTCAAACCCGCGCTGGCTGACCATTGTCTCGAAGCGCCCATCGGCCCCCCAAGCAAGTCGTGCCTGGCTGGCCCCGTGTGCCATGCGCGCGGTGCGCTTGCCGCCTCGGGGACTCTCTGATCCCAGACATCCGACGTGTTCCCCCGGAAGTCTCGACCCCTTCCCTGGGACCGCCGTTCCATCCCGAGCCGTTTCTTGCCGGCCCTGGGGCCCAGCAAGGGCCCCGGGAGGCCGCAAATCGCCGAAGCCTTCCGTCGTGCCTGTTGTCCACGATGGCAGGTCTGCGCCAGATCTGGTGTAGCCCAGATCTGCCATGCTCCTCGACGAGTGTTGCGCCTGGCTGGCTGCCAGTAGCCTGCGGGTGCCTTTATAGGCAGGGCTGACGGGCTTGTTTTCCACAACCACCACCACCATAAGTTGGAGAGGGGAAGGAGGTGGAGGATGATGATGAGGAGGAAGAGGAGGAGGAGGAGGAGGAGGAGGAGAAGGAGCAGGAGGAGGAGGAGGAGGAGGAGGAGGACCCCCTCCCCCTCCTACTTATGGTGGTGGCGGTGGAGAACAAGCCCACCAAGGGCGGCTCCTCTTCTGCGACCCAATCCATGTTGGTGCTCGCCAGCTGCGTCGCAGATCGAGGGAGGAAGCACGATGACCACGACCACGACCACGATGTCGTGGGACCGGGTCGACGGCGACCTTGGTCATGGTCCGTGCCGGCCGTCACCGATTCGCGACCCAGACCCTCTCGGGCAATGGAAAGATCATGAGGGGAGGTTTTTCCACATGTTCGGCCCCTCGAGGCCTTTGCCGGGCCTCGAGACCGTCAAAAAGCGACTCAGGATGAGAAACCCGTCCAGGGGAATGGGTCAAGACCTCTGAGGGCCGACGTTATGACAAAATCATGACGTCGGGGGTCTGGGAGGATGATCCACGAATTGACGATGACCAGGATGGTCGGTGACAACGATCGACGCCGACGTTTCACGCCACGGTCCTCCTCTCCTTTCTCTCCAGAAGAGTTGCGTCTTCCGCGACGAAGACCGAGGCGGCGACCGCGTGGCGGCGACCAGGAGAGCTCGGACCTCCCCCGAGAGTCTCTGGCGAGCGCCGCTGAGTTCCCCGTCCGAAGGGCTTGCGCAGTCTCTTCCACGGGATCTCTCCAAGGGTAGCCCGCGCAGCCGTTCTCTCCGTTTCTCTCGTGGCCGCTTGGGAAATGCCCGAGCTGCTGAAGCCTCCTCTCCTTCGCCTCCCGCCTCATCCTCCTTCGTCGCTTTTTCCGTCCTCGTCCGCCTCCGCCTTCGCCTCCACCTCCTCCTTCCGTGAGCGCCCAAGAGCGCGCTCGCGCGCGCGTGCGAGGTGTCGGCAGCGCCGTGCGTGGAAGCTACGGAGACCGACAAGGTAGACGCCAAGGCTCCAGGGAAAGGGGATGAGAAAGGATGGAAATGAAGGAGGAGGGGAAGGACGACGACGACGGCGACAACGGGGAGGAAGGAGCAGGAAGGAGTAGGGAGTAGGGAGGAGGAGGAAGGAGGAGGAGTAGGAGGACTAGGATGAGGAGGACTAGGATGAGGAGAACAGGAGGAGGAGGGGGACTAGGAGGAGGAGAGGGTCAGGAAATGAGGGAAGAAAGGTGACGACGAGAAGCAGGACGCTGGTGATGGTGATGATGATGATGGTGGTGATGATGATGATGATGATGATGATGATGATGAGGATGAGGATGAGGATGAGGATGAGGATGATGATGATGATGATGATGATGATGATGATGATGATGATGATGATGATGTTGATGATGATGATGATGATGATGATGCTGATGAAGAAGAGGAGGAGGAGGAGGACCAGCGTCAACCCAAGACTCATCTACGATGTCGGAGTAGACCTTCCCTCCAAGCTCCCTCATCTCTTTACAGGCCCTAGAAGGGTACTTCCACTGAGGGAAGTGCCCGGCTAGGAGATAACCGTGTGAAAATGTGGAAGCGTACCAAAACACCAACCTCAGGACTTCAACCTGACTGTTGCGTCTTGACGATCCGGAATCGTGCCAAAACGCCTTTCTTGGGACTCCAAGACCACGAATCAACCTAACCGTTGCGCCCTGGCAATCCTGAGTCGCTCGAAACGCCATCACTGGAAGGTTAATCTTGACAAGCCTCGAAACTCTTGCATTTGTTACGACGAATGTGCGTGGCGCTCAGGCGAGAGCCACATTTCGAAAACAAACGCCTTCAACCCGTGAAGTTCGTGCATAAAGAGGCGAATGTGCGCGGCGCAAAGGCGAGAGCCACATGATGAAAACGAACCGCCTTCAACCAGTGAAACACTTGTAATACCGAAACGCATGTGTGCGGCGCTGAGGTGACAACCACAGTTTGAAAACGAATTGTCCTCAATCCGTGAAGCTCCTGCATGCTTGAGACGAATGTACGCGGCGCTGAGGCAGAAACATGTTGACAACCATCCGGCCTTGTCTCGTGAAGTTCTTGCAATGTTAAAGACGAGTGTGCGTGGCGCTAAGGCGAGAACCACATGCTGGAAAAGATCCGCCCCTCCACAGCTTCTAAGCTTCAGGCTCATCAATGGTAAGGAAGTCTCCAGCGAAGCGCCCGGTCCGCCCCTCCGACTGGCCTCGGGTTGCGACAGAGAGGAGCTACTCATACGGAAACGGAATGGAGGAGGAGGAGGAGGAGGAGGAGGAAAAGAGGCGGAGGAGGAGGGGGAGGAGTCTTGCAGGAGCCTGGAAGCAGCAAGAGGCAGAGAAAGGAGGATGAAAGGGAGGAGGAGGAGGAGGAGGAGGAGGTGGAGGAGGAACAGAGGGAGACGGAACAGGAGGTGGAGGGAGGGATAGGGAGAGGGAGGAGAGGGAGAGGGAGCGGGAGGGTGAGGAGAGGGAGCGAAATGGGAAAGGAGATAGAAGGGGGGGAGCAGAAGAAGGAAAAGGAGGATGGGGGAGGAGGAAGGAAGAGGAGGAGGGCATGGATGGTGGGGAGCAGGACGTGGAGGAGCGGGGGGTGGTGATGATGATGATGATGATGAGGAGGAGGAGGAGGAGGAGGAGGAGGAGGAGGAGGAGGAAGAGGAGGACGAAACCAGGAGAAGGAGGACCACGAGAAGCAGGAGGAAAAAGAAGAGAGGGCGATTAAGAACAGGGTGAGTGGAGGAGGTGGCGCCATCTTTCAAGATAGTTCCGTTTCCATCCTTGTTGCCGAGCTGCCTTGGAGTTGTTGGTGGCGGGGCCCTTTTCTCTTGCACGGGCGACAGAACAGGCAGGGAGGGCTTCCCCCACAGCTGCTGATCGAATGCCCCGCTTCTTCTTGCTCGTCCCGCACGTGGCCCGCACAGTCCCCACGAGCGGCTGGCCCGCTCATGGCCCCAACCAGTGGCCCCGCGAATGGCCCCCACTCATGCATTTGGCCCTCTACACCCTAGGCGATGCTTCAGAAAACGTAAGGTTTCGGCCAGAGTCTTGATTATTCTTATTGTTTCAATGGAAAACCTAACTTTTTAGTAGAAATTTGGTTTTTTTTTATTCCAATTCTGAGACTATGAATTTCTTAACCCATGATGTCTTAAGCATTTCGCAGGGTGCAGTGGCCCACTTAACGAACTTGGCCAACAAATGAGCAACCGCTGGCCCACCCATGGCCTGCGAATGACCTGTGACGCCCGCACGGCCCACGAATGCTCTTCGAAGGGCTCGCTTCTCAGTGCACCAGAGAAAACCCCAATCAGTGGATGGTTTGACCGATTCGGAGATCGACCAGGAACCCGGGAACCCAGAACCCACCGAAATCGGCCCGGAACCAATGACCAGGAACCCGGAACCCGAAACAGGGAACCCGGGAACGCGGGAACTCAGCCAGCTCCCAAAATCGGCGGGAAATTTTCGCCAAATCTTTCAATTTCCGCTAGGACCCCTTCAGTGCAAGCACTGATTGGAGAATATTTCTTTCGCGTTGTCGCGATTGCAGAGATCATCAGTGCCAAAGCAGGCGGCCATCAGCTTGCCATTCACCAGGTCCGAAGGAACTGTGAGGCAGGGCCCTTCGTGAGAAGAGGAGGGGGACGAGGGGAAGGAGGAGGAACCCACGACGCACCAACGATTTTGCAATAAACCCTCCCTCATAGCTCCCACTGCGTAGGTCCCTGCATTGATTTTCATTGCGGGAGGTGCCCCATTGGACGACAACCGTCTGAGAATCGCCAGCCGCGCCGAAACACCACTCCTGGGACTTCAGCGCCGCGCATCAACGTGACTCTTGCGTCCTGACGACCTTAAATCTTGCCAGAACACCGTTCCTGGGACTTCAACACCGCGACTTAACATGACCTCTGCGTCCTGAGAATCCTCAAACGTTCCAAAACACTTTCCCTGGGCCTTCAACCGTGCGAATCCTCGACACTGCTGCGAATGTTCAAGACGAGTGTGCTCGGCGCTCCGGCGGGCGCTACAAGTTGACAGGGAAATATCATTCATCCTTAGAGCTGCTGCGAACATATAGAACGAATGCGCGCGGCGCTAAGACCAGAGTCAAGACGATCTATTTCCCATCGCTGAAACTGTTAAAGCTGTTGCGAATGTGCGCGGTACTGAAGCGAGAGCCACATGTTGAAAGCGGCCTGCTCTCCCCTCGTGGACCTGTTACAATGTTTGAGCACAAGTGCGCGCGGCGTTAGGGCGAAAACTACATGTTGAAAACCGGCCACCCTCCCTCAGTGAAATTGTTGCAAATCTGAAACTTCAGGATAGATGGTGAAGAAGCCTCAGGCGAAGCGGCTGGCCCGCCCTATTAATACGTTTGGGGATGCTACAGGGAGGACATGTTCATCAGGAACACGGATAAAAAGAGGGATGATGGAAGTGGAGCAGGGTCTTCCCGCCCCTTCCCCTCCCTCCCCGCCTCCCCGTTGCTCCTCCTCGCTCCCCCTCTGCACGCCCCCCCCCCCACCCTCCCCGTTGCTCCTCTTCGCTCTCCCTCTGCATGAGCTCTCGGCCTTCGTCCCCTCCTCGCCCTCTGCCTCGCTCTCCCCCTCCCCCCGATTCGACTTCACCCCAGACATCCGACGTCGCCATTCTCTGTCACCAGCGTGCAGCCCTCCCCCCCCAAAGGAGGTCTGGACCCCTTCCCGGGGGACGGGCTCTTCACCCCGAGCCCCGGAGGCCGAACAGAACGGGCGGAACAAGATTCCGTCGTGATTATTTCGCCGCCGGGGGGGTGCACGGGTTCCCCCGGGGCCGTGGGCGACCCGAGGAGGAGGAGGAGGAGGAGGAGGAGGAGGAGGAGGAGGAGGAGGAGGAGGAGGAGGAGGAAGAGGAGGAGAAAAAAGGAGGGGGAGGAGGACGGAGGAGGAGGAGGAGGAGGAGGAGGAGGAGGAGAAGGAGGAGGAGGAGGAGGTGGAGGAAGGATGCAACACAAATGAGCCGATAAGCAGTTCGACCACATCGCGAGCCTGTCAGGGACGGGCTCGCCCGGCGAGGTGCAGAACCGAGAGCACGCCGAGATCGACTGGGTCTCGGAGCTCGGCCAGGCCCTCCGCGGGACGGGGGGCGGCGCGGCCGACGCCGGCGCGCCGCAGAAGCCGCCGCCGCCCGATGCGGCCGGGGCCCCGCGAGTGCAGGCGGGCTGGGGCGCATCCTCTGCTTGCACCTCTTTCTCCAGCTCGTCACCCCTGTCCTCCTCCTCCTCCGCCTCCTCTCCTCCTCCTCCTCCCCCACCTATCCTCTTATCCTCCTCCTCCTCCCCCTCCTCCACCTTATCATTATCCTTCCTCCTCCTCCTCCTCCTCCTCCTCCTCATCATCATCATCACCATCAACATCATCATCACCATCATCATCATCATCATCATCATCATCATCATCATCATCATCATCATCATCACCAGCAGCAGCAGCAGCATCAGCATCAGCATCAGCATCAGCATCAGCATCAGCATCAGCATCAACAGCCTTCTTCTTCTTCATCATCATCATCATCAGCATCAGCATCAGCATCAGCATCATCATCAGCATCATCACCATCATCATCATCATCATCATCATCATCATCATCATCATCATCATCATCATCATCCAGCCGTCGCCGATTCGTGAGGATGTTCCAAATGGACGGAGGCTGGACGGAGACCAAGATCGGCATCGACGTTTCCTCGTCCAGCCTTGGTCATGGTCCTCGTCTCCTTTCTTCCCTGAAGAGTTGCGTCTTCTTCGCTCAGGCCGCCCTGGCCGTCCCCAATTCGCGAGGATGCTTCGCGAATTGGCGACGACCAGGATGGGCGGTGACCAAGGTCGGCACCGACGTTTCCTCGTCCAGCCTTGGTCCTGGTCCTCGTCTCCTTTCTCTCCAGGAGAGCTTCGCCTTCGTCGCCCAGGCCAGTGCGCGAACATCGAGGCGCCGACCAGGAGAGGTCGGACCTCCCGAGAGTCTCTGGCGAGCGCCACGGGCACCCCCGTCCAAAGGGCTTGCAGAGTCGCTCCCACGGGAGCTCTCCAAGGGTAGCCCGCGCAGCCGTCCTCTCCTCTCCTGCGGCCGCCTGGTAAACGCCCGAGCTCCCGAAGCCTCCCCTCCTCCGTCTCCTTTTCCGTCCTCGTCCGCCTCCGCCTTCGCCTCCACCTTTTCTTCCGGTGAGCACCCAAGAGCGCGCTCGCGCGCGCGCGTGCGAAGTGTCGGCAGCACCGTGCGCGGAAACTACGGAAGCTTCCGCCTTCGCCCACACCTCCTCCCGTGAGCGCCCAAGCCCCTGTCGCCTCCCCTCCCCCCGCTTCCCTCCGCCTCCCCCGTCGCCTCCGCCGTCCTCCTGCGCCTCCGCCTCCGCCTCCTCCTCCCCTGGAGCGCCTCGGCGCGCCGCCCAGGGCGCCCAGCCTCGGCCAGGGTCACCGCTCTCCCTGCGAGCCCTCGGCTTGCCGCCCGGGGCGCCCCCCCCCCGTTTGTAGTCCGGCGGGTACAGACCAGAGGATGCATTAACCCTGTGCTGTTGCCAGGGGGGGCAGAGCCCGCAGACGCGAGGGCAGCGGCCAGGAGCTGGCACGCGGCCCGGCGGAGCGGCCCGCTGCCGGGGGCGTGGGCGGCGAGCTGGCGCAGGCGCGCTCGGGGCGCCGCGGCTTCGCGGCGCGCGCCCTGTCGGGCCGCCCGCCCTGGAAGGGGGGGGCGGGGGAGGGAGGGAGGGCGGAGGGAGGGTGGGGTGGGGGGGGTCGGGGAGGGGGGGAGGTGGGGGCGGGGGAGGGCGGGGGGGGGGTCGGAGAGGAAGAAGGTGGGGGGGGGGGGGAGGGGGGGGGTCGGGGGAGGGAAGGGGGAGGGGGGGGGCGGGGTGGGGGGGAAGGGGGAGGGTGGGGGGTGGGTCGGGGGAGGGGGGGGAGGGGGGGGTGGGGGGCGGGGAGGGTGGGGAGGGAAGGGGGGCGGAGGGAGGGGGGGGGGGGGGGGGCGTCGGGGAGGAAGAGCGCGAGCTGGCCACTCGCACCCACGCCTGCACGTCCCTTGGAGAACCCCGGGGCGGATTTCTGGGCGGGGGCTGTGGGTGGGTGCTGTCGGATGGGGCGTGCACCGCTCGAACGGGAACGCCGTTCGGGGTCCGACAACGCGCACCCACACCTATAGCGCATGCATCGCCTTGCCCTTCCCCACTCCTCCTCCCCATAGGTTAGAGTGTGTGTTGTTCAGTGATCAGACAATGCAGAACGGCATCGAGACCGCCACCTCTGTGTCAGTTTCGTCTCTTGAGGCTCTCCGGGAGACCCTCGTTCTCACGGCTGGATTCCCCTCGAAATCCTGCCCCCCCGAGCGCACCCCAGAAGATGTCTGTGGAGCAGCGGTAAAAAATCCGCTTGTAGCGTCGACTAGCGTCGAGTAGCATCTGTCGATGAGATGGCGCCGATTGATCGTCGATTAGCGTCGATTCAGCGTCGACTAGCGTCGAGCAGCGTCGATTCGCAAGAGCCGACCAGATGGTATGGGAAGGGAGGGCGGGGCGGGGGGGGGGTCTCGGGTCGGGGGGAAGGGGGGGGTTGGGGAAGGGGGGGTTGCGGAATTTGCTGCATGCAGCTGGTTTCGGCCTCACCGAGGGGCCCATTCCTCGATGCATGGCCGCCTCCGGCGCCGGGAGGCGCCGGGAAAATCAGCTACGTGAGCTGATTCTCAAACCCCCCTTTTGCTATCCCCCCCTTTCGCCCGATCCGAGGGTCGGGGGAAGGAAGAGCGCGAGCTGGCCACTCGCACCCATGCCTGCACGTCCCTTGGAGAACCCCGGGGCGGACTTCTGGGCGGGGGCTGTGGGTGGGTGCTGTCGGATGGGGCGTGCACCGCTCGAACGGGAACGCCGTTCGGGGTCCGACAACGCGCACCCACACCTATAGCGCATGCATCGCCTTGCCCTTCCCCATTCCTCCTCCCCATAGGTTAGAGTGTGTGTTGTTCAGTGATCAGACAATGCAGAACGGCATCGAGACCGCCACCTCTGTGTCAGTTTCGTCTCTTGAGGCTCTCCGGGAGACCCTCGTTCTCACGGCTGGATTCCCCTCGAAATCCTGCCCCCCCGAGCGCACCCCAGAAGATGTCTGTGGAGCAGCGGTAAAAAATCCGTTTGTAGCGTCGACTAGCGTCGAGTAGCATCTGTCGATGAGATGGCGCCGATTGATCGTCGATTAGCGTCGATTCAGCGTCGACTAGCGTCGAGCAGCGTCGATTCGCAAGAGCCGACCAGATGGTATGGGAGGCTCCCACGAGCTACCACCGAACGTGGAGTAGCGGTACGGGTATCGTTCGTTCCCCTCACAAGTTCAACGCGACGGAAGGTTTCTTATTCATTTATCTGTCTTATAAATGTTTACAAACACTTTTTTTTGTTTTGCTTCGGGGGGCCTTCACAGGCCCCCGGGCCATCCGAACCTTGGAACTGGTCCAGACCTCTGGGTGCGGGGGAGGGGGAGGGACAAGCTAGGTGCGCTCGCGTCATATCTGACGTCCTACCCCTCCCTCCCATCCCTTACCATGGCGCTGATTTTCTCTATCCGCGGACGCGTGTCGTAGCGGACCTGTGGCTCCGCGCGCGCGTGCGTAGTGGGTGGTGGTGCACGTGCGTGCGTGCGTGCGTGTGTGCGTGGTTGTCGTGGTGGTGGGGGTGGTGGTGGTGGTGGTGGTGGTGGTGGTGGTGGTGGTGGTGGTGGTGGTGGTGGTGGTGGTGGTGGTGGTGGTGATGGTGGTGGTGAGTGTGATGGTGGTGGTGGTGGGTGGTGTTGGTGGTGGTGGGTTCGTATGAGTGCTGGTGCTGCGGTGGTGGTTGTGGTGGTGGTGCTGGTGGGGGTGTCTGGTGGAGCTGGTGGGGTTGCTGGTGGTTGGTGCTGGTGGTTGCTGGTGCGGCGCGCGGTGGGGTGGTGGCGGGCGGATGGGCGCGCGAGAAGAAGGGGGGAAAGAAGAAAAAGGAGGGAAAAAGGCCCAGCGCTGGGGCGGGGAACGCCATCCTGGAAACGACGGAAGCACAGCGCCGACCGGAAAATGAGGCCCACGCTGCAGCGGGAGCACGATTCGGAACGATTCGGGAGCAGAAATGAGGCCGGCGCCTCAACGAGAGCAGCATTTTGGGAAACAAATGACGCCGGCGCCTCAGAGAGAGTCGTTTCCCGGGATTTCCCGGGCATCCTGTGTGCAAAAAAAACAGTACGCGGAGGGTGCGCGGCCATCACCCGGACGCCATCAGGGGAAGAGGGAGGGTATATTCATATTGAGTAATTGTTGAGGAGGAGGAGGAGGAGGAGGAGGAGGACGGAGGAGGAGGAGGAGAGGGAAAGGGGGGGAGGAGGAGGAGGAGGAGGAGGAGGGAGGAGGAAGGAGGAGGAGGAGGAGGAGGAGGACTAGGAGGAGGCCAGAGAACAAGGATGCGTACTCAGGGAGGTCTTCGACCACGGAGGATGAGGAGGAGGAGGAGGAGGAGGAGGACGAGGACGAGGACGAGGGGGAGGAAGAGAAGGAGAGGAGGAGGATGAGGAGGAGGGGGAGGAGGAGGGATGGGGGGGGGCCCGGGGGGGGGCGCCAGGCCGCCCACGGGAGGCGCTCCAGAATGGGGAAACGCTGGCAGTTTGACGCGCACCCGGGGGGTGGGGCGGGAGGACAGGGACAGAGGGAGGGGGCGTGGAGAGAAGGCGATGACGATGACGATGACGATGACGACGACGACGACGATGACGATGACGATGACGATGACGATGACGATGATGGCGATGACGATGATGGTGACGATGACGATGCCGGGGGGGGCGGGGGAACAGGGACAGAGGGAGGGGGCGTGGAGAGATGGGAGAAGGGTTTTGCTGTGAGCGGGTGCGCACCTGCGCTTGTCAGTCAGAGTGTGCCGCGCTGTTTATGATCAAGAGCAGGAGGAGGAGGAGGAGGAGGAGGAGGAGGAGGAGGAGGCGGAGGAGGCGGAGGCGGAGGCGGAGGCGGAGGCGGAGGCGGAGCTTGATGGGGAGGAGGTTGCAGGTGAGCAGGACGAGGGACGAGCGGCGGACGAGAGGGGCGGACGAGGAAGTGGGGGGGGGGGGGCGGCAGCGGAAGCGCGGAGCGACCTCCGAGCCGCCCGGCCCGCGGCTAGGTGCGCGAGCGCATGTCGCGCCTCCGCGGGGAGCTGGCGGTGGCGATCACGCCTCTGCGCACCAGCGTGGAGCGCCGCAGGAGGCGGCCCGCCTCCCCCGCCACTTCCGCTGCTGCTGCTGGCCCGCGCCGTGGGCGGAGTTCGCGGGGTCGCTCGCCGCGCGCCCGCGGCCCGCCGCAGGGGGCAGAGCTGCGCACCAGCAGAGACCACCGCCATCCCCCGCCTCGCGCGCTCCTTTTGCCTCCTCGTCGTCATCCTCCCCCGGCGTCCTCCTGCTGCTCGAGGAGGGGGGAGGAGGCGGACGGGGACGGAGGGGGGGGGAGGGGGGGATGCCCATGGAGCGGCTGCAGCGCAGCGTCCCCGCCTTCTTCCTCGTCTTCCCTTCCCCCAATTCCCCATCCCCCGGCGAGTTCACTGCGAGCGCTCCCATGTCTGAGGTCTGCGGCCCACTCCGCCCGTCCCCCGAGGCACGCGCTCCGGCGCGATGGTGGCGGGTCGTTCGTTCCGTTCGCTCGTTCGGTCCCCTCCTGCTCCTGCCTGCTGCCTCCCGTGCTCCGCCCTCCGCCTTCACCCGTCTCGTCTTCTCTCTCTCCCCGTGCAAATGGTTGCTTTCTAATTCTTCGAGGGTTCTTTGATTTTTTTGTGGGCCAAGATCCTTTCAATTCTAATCGTTCTGTCCTGGGCCTCTTCCTTGCCACTAGGGGGCCAGGAACAATTAGAAACGAGGACAATTAGAAATGAGCACGATTAGGAATGAACGACGTGTACGCATGGGTCGGTTCGCCCAAGCTTCGACTCTGCGTGTTGCAGCTGGTTGGCTCGTCTACGTCGGCCTGCTCGCCCTGGCGTCTCCTGGGGTGCGGTCTCTGGACAGCCTGCGTCAGAAGAAGCTCAGGGACGAGCAGGAGGATCACCGGGAGCAGGCGATAACACGAGAAGCAGGTGTATGGGGGAGGAGATGAAAAAGGGGAGGAGGAGGAGGAGGAGGAGGAGAAGGAGGAGGAGGACAATGAAACGGAGGAGGAGGAACCCGAGGAGGAGGAGGAGGAGGAGGAGGAGGAAGAAGAAGAAGAGGAGGAGGAGGAGGAGGAGGCGGAGGAGGCGGAGAGACAGGATGCAGGAGGAGGACGACGATGAGATCGCCCCCCCCCCGCAGCCTGGCGGGCTCCACCGGCTGCGGCAGCGCGACCCGCAGGGTCCAACAGGCGGGCTTGCCGTCGTCGTCGCCCGCCCTCTATAGGTTGTCGGCGGGGGGGCCTCTGGAGGCACCCGCGGAGGCCTCGCCCCCAAACCTGCTCGCGTCGTGGCAAAATCGGAGGTGGATAGACCTCCTA